GACCTTGAGTGACTGTTTAGAGACTGTAATTAAAGATGGATTGGGAGATTACACAGAAATGGACTGCAACACAGAAATGGACTGCAGAGGCTGAACTCTCCTCCCACAGCGCTTGCTTAGCCTCCTCTTGACAGCGTGTCAGAGAGGAGAGCAAGTGCAAACACTCAGTGATCACTGAGTGTTTGTAGATAATTGAGGACATGGTATGTGTATACATCACTTCCTGTTCATTCATGATTGTGACCTTGATTGTGACCTTGAGTGACTGTTTAGAGACTGTAATTAAAGATGGATTGGGAGATTACACAGAAATGGACTGCAGAGAGACGGCTGATGGTATAATGTAGAGAAACCTTATTTTCCTGAACAGACATGCGTCAAACACAAGGAGTCTGCTGCTGACTTCAAGGATGTTCAGGAGTATGAGACCCCTGCTAGTGATATATGGATTGACTATAGGGAATATAGTATGATGACAGAGACTTCGGAGCCTGACAGTATACAGACACAAAATGTAGAGCGCGTAGAGCTAAGAATGTTGGTTGGCTGCAAGGAACCCGACAGAGAGATGTTAGAAATCCCTCCAAATGTTCAGAATCAAGTGTATATTGGGAAAAATAACCCCCGGAAGCGAAAGGTTGAGGTAAAGGGCTGGATGAGGAAAAACCCCAGCCAAATGAATCATCCATTGCAGAAATGTGTAGAGGCGAATTAGGACATTACCTCTATGAGGGTGCTAAGGAACATGCAGAAAGTGGTTTATGTAGGGAATGTACTACAACTTGTGTCACTACAGCGTGGTGAGAGAATGCCAAAGTACTCAAAATTGGAGTTGGGTAGACTGGTTGGTAAAAAGGCTCACAGGTCCACGGCTGAGTTAGGTAATAGGATTCCAAGGAGTAGTAGCAAGAAAAAGGTGTGTGTGTTCCCATTTAAAGTAAGCAATTGTTGCTGGTGGAAACACATGCATAAAAAGGTTTTAGTGTGTCTAGGTAAAACCCAAAGGAGTGTAGCAGTGACTCTGAGAGAGAGTCGTTTTGTGCAGAAGTGGACTGTGAATGCCTGGTGTAGGGTTCACCTTTTCTTGGCTGCCTGTGTTCCAACCCCAGGATTGAAACAAGAGGGGGGGATATGTGGCAGCAGGCAGGTGGGGATGTCTGTGTTCAGGTGTAATAATGAAGTTCTTCCTCTAGGGGGAAGTGCTGAGAGGGCTGGAGGTTCGGAGGTAACAAGCCCAGCTGACGCTAGCTGGCTTGTTAGGGCCTCTACAAGAAGTTCCAGCCTCCTAAGAGATGAGCCTAAGAGATGAGCCCCACCCTAGAACCAGTCTGTGTGGCTGGTGGACTGGGGAGCAACAGCCTGTGTGGCAAAGCAGCAGCCTGTGTGGCAATCCGCCTGTGTGGCAGCAGCCTGAGTGGCAATCCGCCTGTGTGGCAGCAGCCTGAGTGGCAATCCATCTCTGTGGCCAACGAGCAGTCTCCCTGTGTGGCCAGTGGACGTTTAAGTTAAAGGACCAACTTGAAGTTGGTAAGACTGAAAACTGTTGTTATTGTGAGAGAAAACAGTTTTTTATGTTTGAAAACCCCTGCGAGGGAACACCTGTATGGACTTTTCTTTTGAATTGAGCGTTAATAAAAGTGGGCAAAGAAGCCCTTACAAAGTGAAAAGTGAGTGGCAGTGTACTGAATGCGCTACCATTTGAAGCGAATCCTCACAATACCCAAGCCATCTTATTGTTCTGGTTCTAATCTAAGGTGCTCTCAGGTCAATTAACCTTATACTCTTATCCGATTTCAGGAATTAAAGTGCAACTCCAGCTAAAACTTTTTTTTTAGTTTTGGGTAGAATAGAGAAGGATTAGAAAATATTTCATGTTCTAATCCTTTTGTAACACTGATTCTAAAGCAAGTAATAGGATCAAGGCAAATAAAATTAGTCTGTACAAGCCGCTTGTCCTCACTGGGCCTTTACAACGGCTAACAGGTTACTAAGAAGTTATCATCTTCAGTATTTTCTACCGTGTTCATTAATTTAACAGATTCTGATCACACTGGGCTTGACATGTATAAAGAAAAATAAAAGCCAATAGCATTTTGATGCTTACTTTGCAATCAGATGTTTGATTTCATTTTCTAATATGTCCAAAACAAATAACAGGAACTCAAAATGCTGCTATTGCCAAAACCTCTATTTCTCACTCTTTCCATTCTTATGAATTAGTGTCATTTTTACTACATATACTGTATATTCTGATAATCCTATAGTACAGGACTAACAGGGTTATTCACAAAAGGGTAAAGAGTTTGGAGAAGGCAGGAGAAGTGAACAATCTAGGACAACATAGCTGATTTGGACAAATTCTCCAATTCAGCTCACTTTCCAGTTCAGCTATGTTGTCCTATATTGTTCACTTCTCCTGCCTTCTCCAAACTCTTCACCCTTTTGTGAATATCTAGGAATGACTATTTCCCTGTGTCTATTTATTTAAGATACACTATTTTAATGAAAACATGTTCTATAAAGATTTTGTCCTTTAGCAGGAAATGCTGACTGTCTCAGACAATTCCCATCTTTTGTGAATCAGTAAGTAACATAGCTGCCAACACCAGTCCAAAATTCACTTAAAGCCTATCTCCAGGGAAAAATAAACTACCATTGCAGTGGGACTATCCCTGCACTGCAAGGGTTAGCTGTTTGTTTATGTCTAAGTGAGCTGTGTAAAGGACTTTTACTTTTTACCCGATCCCCGCTCCTCCGACAGTTGACACTCACCTCTCTCCCCTCCACTCTGGCTTGGGGACTGTCCCTTAGATATGAGCCCGGCATGAGACGTGATGGCCAGAGCGCAGGGGGAAAGAGGCTGCGGGCACCAGTCATGGAGCCTGCAGGTGTGGGGACCAGGTTATTTAAAGTCCTTTACACACCACACCTAGACAAAAATAAGCAGTTAACCCTTATAGGTCAGGGGAAGCCCCACTGCAAGGATGTTTTTTTTTTCTTCTTGGGGATAGACTTTAAAAGCAGACTTTGAGTCTAAACATAAACATGCAGAGTACCATGCATGGCCCTATAAATTAATTGCAACAGATAAAAAAAAACTTACACTATCATGATAAATATAAAATATCTGGTTACCCAGAACATCCCCAGCACTTTGTGGTACAACACAAAGCCAGGCCATCCAGACCCCATATCTTTCTATGTATCTATGTATCATTTCCTTTTATTTTTATCTGTTTCTCTCTCTGTTTATATACAGTATATCTAAATTGGTAAAATGACATGTACTAGCCAAATGCAAATTATACACAACACATGCAAACTAGAAGCAACAGTCGTTTGCTCTTTAAACTTCATTTCAATTATTCAATGATAAATACACATTCGTACAAATGGTCAAAACAATCTGAACAATAATTGCTTGAGATGTAAAATTCAGCGAGAGTTCCAATGAGTTCCTACTTAGGCATTCAATAGTAGCTCGGCAACAGCACCATTGCATTCTCAATGATAGGCAAACAAGTGTGTTCAGAGATTACTTTTCCATTCTGTTATCAAGACAGCCACACAGTCTGAAGATAAGGCACCCTTTTACTGAGTCCTTTTTCCTGCAATAATGTCAAATCTCGCAGCCTTTCTAAAAGACTGGAACTTCTAGCAAACCCTTTTCTTACTGGCCTTTGAGGAAGCTGGCTTAATTAAGCAGGCTGTTAATTTTAATTAAGTGCAAATATTTAAAAAAAGTATAAAGTTGTTTAAATAGCATTTAAAATTGAGTTCTCTGAAAATAATGTGCCAGTCACATTAGTGACTCATACTGGTGACATACTTGTAATATCTAGACATAAGTTTGCATTATCTTTTTAGGTTATTTGCTGTGAAAACATTTCAGTGTAGGGCTAAGTTTAGACCAATATATGCATTATATCCAAAGGTTGCAATTCATTTTTTTGTGGCTATCATTTTTAGAATATTATGCTCACACTATTTCTAGATCTACTTGCCAACATAGCAGTGTTATACATTGACAGAAGATGGTATTCCAAAAGGTACAAAATAATGTACGGCAACCCGCCAATGCTGCAGTGCCGTCCGTCCGTTTTTTTACTACGGGCGGACGGCAAGTGGTTAAAGGATTTACTACAAGACGGTCTTGCTTAAAGCTGAATTCTGGGATAAGTAAATATCGTGTAAATACAAGAAGCATGTGTATTCTTACTTTTACCCCTAATTAAATTGAGTGCATGCTGTTAATAAGCTATAATCACTCTGAGCTTCTGTTTAACTTTTCTAGGCACTGCAGGTCTTCCTTAAACTCAGCCTAAGTCTGTTACTGTGAAGGAGATTCTAATAAGCAGAGTAGAAAGGACAATTATGGAGTTATGAATATGTATCTGATCTAACCAATCCCTGAGGTTTGTGTTCAGAGGAATGATTTGGGGAAATAATAAATGTTTGGTGCACATTATCAGAGGGCTCTCTACAGTTTGAGCTTCTGCCTGGAAAGGATGAATATCTACAAGGATTTCTAGATCTTATTTTCAGGTATTCTGCACCCCTAAACCTTCTCTCCTAGAATTAAATTCAGCAAGGCAAAAAGACTAAACTGAAACTAAGTTGAAAAGACATCTTATTTTATTCCATTGTACACCAAGAACCAGACCCTAAGATGACTATGTTCAACTGCCACACTGGTTAGGGGTTAATCACACCACGAGAAGGAGTACTAAACTTAAATCTTGGAGTGTTTTTGTTTTTAACTTCTTACAGATCTGTACAGTAATCCAGTATGAAACTTTACCTTTGTGTAGGAGCTTCCTGTAATAAAGACAGTGCACTTGTCTGCTAGATCCAAAATTCCCTCCCACAGCTCTGCCCTCAGTTCAACTTTTAGAGAAAATCTGGTAAACTTAATTTAAAATACAAGGTTTTCACTATATAGAATGTTTATATAGCATAATAACTATTTAGTACAAACTGTTTAAAAAAATTACACTAACCTGTTAAGAAGAGGAAACAAAGATACAGCAAGATACACACATGGATACCATTTTAGAGGTTTAATTTCTTCAGCCATTAAAATCTGGAAAACAGAAATTACAATTATCAGACATAGCCATTGACAATACTTATACAAAAAAATAATAAAAGAAAACTAGGAGTGCAAAATTCATTGAGGGCACACACCTCTTAGTGTCCTCAAAAATACAGTAAACTTGCTATAATTAATCCCAGGTTTCTCTCATTGAGCAGGCGTAATATAAGCTAGTGCACCACTCACATTGAGCTTGCTCAGACAGGGCTTGGGAACAAAGTGCCTGTGAGCTAAGTCGCATAAAAAATTGGCATTTAAGCAATAGGAGTTTGAACTGTAAGTAATATCTTTAATTTTTATATAACCTATAGAAACATTGCAACTGAGATGATGTATGTTAGAATGGTTGAATGGTTTGTTCAGTGCCACATGTATACACAAATGGAGCCACAGCTCCAGGGTGAATACCACTGTGACAGATGGGAGCAGGTTGCACTTCTGGAAGCTCATATTAGAGATCTGGAAGAGCGAATTGCATCACTGAGGTGACTTGACAACCTTGAGAGGAGTCTGCTGATCACCGAGCAGGCATTTAATGGGGTTGATCTGGAGGGTGGAGGGGTAAGTGAGGATGATCAGGTAGGAAGCTGGGCTACTGTAGCTAGAGGGAGTGACAGGGGCTCACTGAAAAGGAAGGTCAGCCCTGTATTTGTGCACCCAAACAAATTTGCTAAGTTGGGTGGCAGACTCAGAGTTGGCAGCCCTAGATGTCACTACTACCCCTAACAGCCGGGAGATCAGCACATCTAGTCCGGGAGGTGATGGTAATGCAGGAAGGCCTAGACAGGTTGTGGTAATAGGGGATTCTATAATTTGAAGGACTGATAGAATAGTTTGCCGTCAACCGGATGGTTTGCCGTCTCCCTGGTGCCAGGGTTCAGCATGTGGTGGACCTGGTGGACAAATTACTGGGAGGGGGTGGGCATGACCCAGCTGTCTTGGCCCATGTTGGGACCAATGACAGAATACATGGAAGAAGGAGGATCCTTAAAAATCAATTTAAAGAACTAGGTTGCAAGCTGAAGGGAAGGACCTCCAAGGTAATAGTCTCTGGAATATTGCCTGTGTCATGCGCAACACAGGAAAGACAGCGGGAGCGTAGAGAGCTAAATGCACGGCTGAAAACCTGGTGTATGAGGGAAGGCTTTGGGTTTCTGGAGCACTGGGCTGACTTTTTATTGGGGTACAACCTATATGCTAAAGATGGTCTGCACCTAAATGGAAGGGGGGCTGATGTGCTAGGTTCTTGGGAGGGTTGGAGAAGTATTTAAACTAGGATTGAGGGGGGAGGGAGAGATGGAATATATTGGGGTAGATATGTCAAACAGGGGTGACTGTAATGGAGGGTGGAGCAGGGGAAGATGGAGGGAGGGAAATCGAACTGGATAAGGCGATTCCCATGTTGCAAACAAACATTGAAGATTATAGTACTAATTGTACTACAAAAAAAGATAAATCTATTACAAGTGAAAAATGTAAAATTTGCTTGAATTGTTTGTTTACCAATGCCAGAAGTCTGCACAGCAAAATGGGAGAGCTGGAAGCTTCGGTGCATGAGGAGAACTATGCTATCATTGATATTGCTGAGTCTTGGCTTGGTTCTTCACATGATTGGGCTGTTAATATTCCTGGCTATGCTCTCTTTCGGAGAGATCGGTTAACACGAAAAGGTGGCTGTCTCTATGTGAGAAGTGATCTAAAAGTGAGTGTGAAAGAGGACTTTGTTGATGGTGAGTATGATGGTGCATTATGAGTGGACTTGTATACTGGTATGCATAATGCAAAGGTAAAAGGCCCCCCAGTGTTAATGAAGAGATAGAGACTCGGCTCCTTACACAGATAGAAAGGGCTGCAAGGGCGGGGACAGTAGTATTAATGGGAGATTTTAACTATCTTGACATTGACTGACATAAATGGCACTGCTGGAACAGTAAAAGGGTGCACATTTATAAACTTATTACATGACAATTTTATGGTATAGTATGTAAAAGCCCCAACTAGAAATGATGCTCTGCAGGATCTGGTAATCTCAACCAATGCAGAGTTTATTACAAATATTCATATAAAAGAACATCTGGGTAGCAGTGACCATAATATGATTTCATTTAACTTAAGTTGTAAACAACATTCACATACTGGAAAAATAGAAAAATAAAAACACCTAACTTCAGGAGAGCAAATTGTCCCATGCCGAGGGCTGCTCTTGAAGACTTAAACTGGGAGGGAATATTTTCATCAAAAGACAAAAGAACAAAAATGGGAATGTTTCAAAACAATTGTTTTTAAACATACTGCAAAATATATTCTTGTACGCAATAAGTTTAAAAGGTTAAAAGAAAAACCCATGTGGCTCACATCCAATGTTAAAAAAGCCATAAAGAATAAGAAAAGGCTTTTTTTTAAATATAAAAATGAAGGAACACTGTTGTCATTTGAAAGCTTCAAAGAATATAACAAAATATGTAAAAAGGAAATAAAGCTCGCAAAGATTCAAAACGAACGACAGGTTGCAAAAGAGTGCAAGACAAACCCCCAAAAATTATTTAAATATATTAATAGTAAAAAAATCAGGTCTGAGCATGTAGGACCCTTAAAAGATAACTCAGAGTTGGTAACTGGGGACAAAGAGAAGGCAAATCTATTAAATACCTTCTTCAACTCTGTGCACACCAAGCAACAGGCTGCAACTTAAGTCCATAATGGGGATAGCTGGCTTTGTACTGATGGATTGGTGCAAGGCCAATGTGGTGCCTATATTTAAAAAGGCATCAAAGCCTATACCAAGTAATTACAGACCTGTAAGTTTAACTTCAATAGTTGGCAAGATACTTGAAAGTTTGACCAAGGATCCATGCAATTGTTTTTGCTTGAAAATAATATCATAAGGAGATAGTCAGCACGGATTTACAAAAGACAGAAGTTGTCAAACAAACCTACTTTCTTTTTATATGGAAGTGACTAATAAATTGGACAGAGGAATGGCTGTGGATATAGTATGCTTGGACTTTGCAAAAGTGTTTGACACAGTTCCCCACATGCGGCTAATGTATAAGTTAAGGTCAGTAGGTATAGAGTATTCGATCTGTAATTGGATTAAAAACTGGCTTAAAGAACGTATTCAGAGAGTGGTGATCAATGATTCATACTCTGAATGGTCTGAGGTTGTTAGTGGGGTCCCCCAAGGTTCAGTGTTGGGCCCCTTACTGTTTAATCTATTTATAATTTACATCGAGTTGGGGATTAAAAGTACTATTTCTGTGTTTGCAGATGACACCAAGTTGTGTAGTGGAATACAGTCATTACAGGATGTCTCCAACTTACAAGCAGATCTGAATGCACTGTATTTAGATCTATTTGGCAAATGAGGTTTAATATTGAGAAATGTAAAGTTATGCACTTGGGGACTAAAAATATGCATGTGTCATACACTCTAGGGGGAGAATGTTTGGGGGAGTCAATGATGGAGAAAGATCTGGGTAATAGCATGCAATGTCAAGCCACAGTTTCTAAAGCCAGCAAAACACTTTCTTGTATTAAAAGGGGTACAGACTCAAGAGATCGAGACATAAACCTGCCCCTGTACAAAGCATTAGTAAGACCTCATCTGGAATATGCAGTTCAGTTTTGGGCACCAAGGAATAAAGCCAAGGAATGGCTACACTCCTTGGTTAAATCTTAGGACAAATATGATCACTTTTACAAAACCTGGGGAGTTTGGATCACCTTTACTAGTTCCAATTCTTATTGTCCAAATATAAGAAAAAAGCAAGTTGCTTATTTCTCATTTGGGCTACAAGGGCTTGAGCTCGATATTTAATTTGCTTATTCAACATGGCAACAGATTTTTAGCAGCTTTTTAGTGTTGTATGGTTTGATGTTGTCAATTTTCTTTTTTCTTACCCTCTCTTCTAACCCCCCTTCCCTTCCTACCTGGTAATCCCATCGGGTCTTTGGGTGAAGCCAGGCTGTCAATCAGAGCTTGCACATCAAAGACACCTCAACCCTGTGACAGCCACATTTGTCTGCTCTCTGCATACATTAGTGACCAAGAGGAGTGGTTATAATTGAACCTGAGGGCGTAGCTAAAGACTTTTCGCAAAAAGTCACAAAGTCAAAAGTCTGTGTATTAGTAGCAGGATTGTTTAGTCTGTGTAGACAGCAAGCAATATTTTTGCGAAAGAAGGAAGGCTTTGAAAACAGAAGACTAAGTGGATTATGGAAATGCTACATTTATATGCTTGGGCAATAGAGAAGTTAACTTTAAAGCCCAGCTCTGGGTAACCTCCCCCCCTCCAAAAGCCCTCAAAGCTAATTTTTCTTACCTAAAGTGTTCCTCACCAGCGCTTGTTTCATTAGTGTAGACCAGTGATCCAACACTGCAGTCTGGGTCTGTCGTCTACTGGTTATGCCACTGCGTGTTTTCATGACATCACCATGATGCTGACGGAGTCCTCAAGACCTGTGAGGACACTTTGATTGTCAGACAATAGGAAGTGTCCATGTTACCACGTAGCAGCATGGACACTCAAAGAAGGACCCTGCAACTCTGCAAGGGATCTGACGTTTCACATGACCATGGATTAAGCCATGACCATGGATTTCTGGGGCATTTAAATATAAATTGTGCAAGCGAGTAGCTGGGGATGAGAAGATATTGTTTGTGGGGAAGGAGGGTGGCTAGATCACAATAGAAAAGGAAATCGCTTTTTATTAAAAAATACAAGGTAAAACATTTTCCCTGGTCCAATACAATCACCCATTTTTCTCGTAACACTCCAAGCACAGTAGAGACTGTTGTATCATTTAGCTAAGGCCAGTAGTAAGTTCTTGTGTGCCTTGAGTTTTCTGGGTCACTCAGGATGGTGCCATTTTTTTCTTTTAAGGGCAAAGCTTTAATAATGAAAAGCACTGGCTCTCCGAGCAAAATCTATGAAACAAACATGTCTAACAACTGGCCTCCAGACAAGTAAAGATGGTCAGCTTAGTGG